GCTCTTCATAATTTCTGTGGTTCACTGCTTTCTTGGAAGAGAGAAGATCCATATGCTGTATTTCTAGATTAATTAAGCAGTCTTCAGGGAGCCATGAGTGTTTTTATTTCAGAACCAGTAAGTCTTTTTTAAAGACTGTAAGAAAAGTATTTTTTTATTTTTTTGCCATCCAGATGTTTGTATTCTTTGGGCTCATTAGATACCTGAAAAGTAAAAAAAAATACAATTATTATTTGCTAGAAGATGTGCAATGGTGATTTGGACTACCCCAGGATGTTTCATTGTAGAAGGGTTGGAATCTGTTTTTTTTTTCCATGTGACAACTTGCATATCAAAGGCTCAATAAAAAGGCAATTATGGTTGATGCGTTTTCTCTAGAATATCAAGTAACTTGGTTTGAAATGATAATGATCTGATAGATCATTCTGCTCCATTTGAATGTCTTTACAAGTTAGCAAAGTGAAGTCGGAGAAGAAAAACATGTTTGATTTAATTACCCTGGCAAAGGTTACCATAGATTTTAGCATTCTGACGTTGGAACCAATGTAAATGTGTCACATTTTATCACTTTTCTAAAATATTGCATTCAAGAAACTGTAATGTATGAATAATTCAGATGTACTGAACTTCAGTAGTTAATTTTCAAGCTGATAATCTGAAAAATAGTGATATCCACCAACTGACCTCCTACCAGGGTTAATTTTTTTTCACATGATTTGCCTGGTATTGTTTTGTGGCGAATTTGTGTCAGCTGCATACGTGTTATAACGACTGTTTATATAAGCTTGAGAACTGTCTTCTTTTATATTACTTCTGGAGACCTTAGGCATTTTAAGCTAAATATACTGTATATGTGTGGGCATGCGTGGGTGTTTTTGAGAGAGGAAAAGAAAATCACATAGCATTAGGCACCATCCACTTTCCTCACGCTGTAAATGTCTAGATTTGAGATGCATTGCCCCCTTCTTGTGTGGCTGGGATTGGACTGTTCCGCACTGCAGTGTACTGTGGTTTTTTGTATTTTCAGAATTGAGCATTGTTTCTAAATTAGTCTGCTGCTGTTGAAAAAAAAAAAACAATCGCTCTGTGAACACATTGGTCACATATTTATGAAGAGCTTCTTGCTTCTTGTAGAATGTTCTGTTCTATGAGCAAGTATCTTACTGACACATGTTTCAGGCCATCAGAAAGTTCTGTGACAAGGTTTGCAAAACTGCAGCTTAACATAAGTCTTAAATAGCAGTAAGTTAACTATTGATTTCTATTTTACATTTAAATTGTGTAGTAGATTTCAAATAGCAGACGATGGGATGCTGAACGCTGGAAACGATCTTTTACAAATGTCTTGATTAGTTTGTTATCCAAAAACATACAGTAGTATTTTAATTATTATCATGGAAATTGTTTGATGGCACTGAATACATAAACATCAAATTTAAAACTGAAGGTAGTAGGAGATAATACAGTTTCAGAATCCTTTAACACAGATATAGAATTCTGTATAGAATCTAAAATTAGAACAACACACTTCTGCCTGTTATGATCTGGTCACTGACTGTATAATTACAAATGATGCAGTGAACTGTTAGTCTCAATGACCTTGACTGTCGTTGTACCCTTCAATAAATTGATACACCATCTAAGATTTTGGGGGCTTTTCCTTGTTTTGTTACACTTGTGTCTTTGTGCAGTCGAGACAGATGTTCTCTTGTCAACAGTCTGAAATACTAGTGGATAAATCTGAACATCAGAAGCCACAGGATACTTTACAACAGCTGCAAAGGTCATCCTTTAACTCCCCGCTGATCTTGAAAACTACATGAGCCTTACGCTTGTTTAATTTGCTAAGGAGAACATTTTCCTCTACCACAAGACATGTATGTCCGATAGTATAGGTATTTACCATATTATCTGTATGCCCAAGGCAGCCTTCTTACAGTACATGTATTAAGGGTTGTACTGGTCCTTGTATGAGGAGTTTATTGTAATGTAAACTGTATTATTACATGGGATATTACTTATTAGAAACGGAATTTAGAAAAGTAGAGAAGAAATTAGATTTATTGAAGCTGAAGCATTGGAAAATTAAGAGATCTAATTAACAAGCTCACACCTGAAGAAGGCTCCACCGCTGAAGCATTGTGTTTTCTTTCTTCTCTTTTAATAGGTTTAGGGAATAAACCAATTACTTGTTCTTTATTATGTAACAATTTCTGTGTTTGGGAAAACTCTGGAAAAAAACTTAATGTGATCAGTGACAAAAAACTCTTAACGCATTTGTGTTCATTAACACATTTGGATCGATTTCTAATATGGAGAATTTTGTAAAAAAACATGTACAAATACAGGTACATTGAGGAACATAAAAGTAAACTGTTTCTTCCAGAATAAACACATTTCATTCACACCAGCAACACAGGAGCCATAGCTACCATATTAATTGCACAGGTAAAAAGCTGTAAGATTTTTAACTTTCTCATGAAGGAGAATAAATAAATAAAGCATTAAAAGGGAAAGGAGAGGTGAAAGCTTAACTTGTGTCTTAGTATGCACTTGTTCACTTTAAACCATTGTCATACTGTACTGTAGGTGTCTGGAACACAACCCTGTAAATTTGGCTGCTCCAACTTCCTTTCAAATGTGCTTGCTTCTTTTACAACTGTGCAGTGTGCTTTTGTCCTCATTTACAATTTACCTGTATTCATCTGTTCTTAATTGTGCTATATGCAGCCAAACAGTGCAGTGTAACAGTGAGTTACATGACAAACAGCAGTCTGTATAAACTCTACAAACCATATATGTGGCCAGTGCCTGTTACAAGTTAGGCACCTTTAATTATGTTGGACGATCATGGAATCTGACTAATTTCAATGCTCATGTTAATCTGTTAGGTTGGGGCTCTGAGCAAATGTTCTCCATCCCTGTTCTTTATGTTCAGCGTCTTCTTTATTTCTCTTTTGGTGGAGGTCCCAGTTTCTTTAGTTCAGCGCTGAACTGCAGATTGCCTAGTGTTTCTATAGTAACAGGAATTAGAACAGACTATTTATATATAGCAAATATTCAATGTGCAATACAAAGGTGGAAAAGATCAAAGCTCTTTCGAACAAAAAAACTTACAGAAGATGATGCATAAAATATTAGTTTGGGTGCGCCACAAGCTTACTGTACATCTGAAATTGAGATTGGGTGAGATGTATTTCAATCATACAAATATAGAATAAAACTTTACCTCTTAGGTTTTTTTCTGATATAGTTTAATTAATTAAAGTTTAATCATTTATACTTGTTGCTATTTTTTAAAGAAACCCTGAGTTATTTTTTCACTCATGGAATTAGATTTTCTCCTTTAAATACAAAAGCAAGCAATATTCTGAATTTGAGACCTGGGAGAGCCACTTATTACTTTGTGATGCATTGTCCTGTCACTTTTAAGTTAAGTTCCCTTAAAGTTCTTTGTAACTTTTTAGTTGTCATTTTGGTGGATGCAGACATTTAGTCAATACGCTGTTTAAAATGGGTGAGCTTGCAGATATGAGCAAAATGAGAAATTCCTCTGGTTCTGATGATATTCCTTCAACCGCCACCAATCAGTGTGGTGATCCTGCAAATGTTGATTCCTGATTGGTTAGTCAATTAATCACATACTTTCCCAAGTGAGGCCTTGATTAACAGAGTCCACAAAAAATTCAAAGAGAATTTTTTACTATATTGGCACTGCACAAGACGAGTCACCTCTCTTCAAAGAAATCAGAAGGCTTTCTAGGATTCTAATCTCTTCTATGTGCTAATTTTCCTATAGAAAACAACTGTTTCATTAATTTTTTGCTCTCAATAGAAATACAGTATGTCTCTAGAAAATGCAGAGGACTCAAGGACTAGAACTAGCCACTGTACAGAAATGCATTTTAAACATTTGAAAATTTGTTTACAAAACTTTTGTTTGTAAATTTGTGGTCATGATAAGTACAGTATTTTAAACATTTCATTGTTTTGCTGTTTCTTAAGCTAATTTAATGCTCACTATATTTGGAATACATTAAGTTCATAAGGAGTATAAACATGTGAGATGTTAGTTGGGTTTCTATAAAAGGAATAAAAATAGTAAAAGAGTTCTATATGGTATAAATATTTGAAAATGAATAAATATATTTTAAAGTTAATATGTCAAGAAATCATGAGCTGGAATAAAGTAAAAATTAGGCTGGGGGACTCGAGAGAAATTAAGACATCTTGATTGTTCTTCCTGTTCATTTTCCCACTTTTTATTTTGCCCTTTGGATTCTCATCATACAATACAAATATGTATAGAGATTCTTATTTTTTTTTTTATTCCTCTAAAGCAGCTATGGCTTTAGAGGATGACACTTTTGTCCAATAGACTAAGAATCCCACCATAAAGCTCTGCAGAAGCTTTTGTTATGTACACTGTATAACAATGCACAGCTGCCAGTCGCTGAGCAGTAGAGACAGAATATTAATTTGGTGTCTTATTGTTCTTTAAACTGCATTGTCTTTGTGACAAGCTGATGGCTCTGAGATTCCATATTGCAAGCAAGAAAGCAAGTAAATCTCTGCAGTAGTACAAACAGTAACAAATTAGACATATTTAAAAGGAGCTACTTGCTAGAAAAACTTTATTCTGATACTTCCACTCATTAACTAGCAGGTACACATGAAACATAAATTACAATGTGTAATTTAACTCTTGTAGAAATAAGATGAATTCATCTGATTTAAGGTAATGTCTCATTAATGATTTCTTTAACAATACTTTTTAGAAATATGCCTTGTTTTATACAGGATTTTGGGGGTATTTTACAATATTACAGTATATGTGGTATTTTCCATCCAAACAAAGATAAAGTTGGTATTATGCTCTCCTTTTCAACATGTCTGTTCGATCATAGATTGAATAGCGAGCCCACAATGGTGATCACAATAAAGGAAATGTATACTTTGTGCATGTGATGCAGTTTTTACTTCTTTTTGTGTGTCTGCAGCCTCCTGACAAAGAGGGTGGTCTTCCCAAGCAAGTAGGAAACAAGACAGAATGTGGGTTACTTGGGTTTGTTTTGGACCTGAACCGGGATTATCAACCCATTCGCAATCAGATCCCTGAAGAGAAACTTTACAAGGTCTACACCTTCAACTCTGTAAGGAAGTCCATGAGCACAGTAACTAAACTTCCAGATGGGAGCTTCAGAATGTACAGCAAAGGAGCTTCTGAGATCGTTCTTAAGAAGTGAGTGCTGCACCAGTCTATATGTTTAATTCTGAAGGAATTCTCACAATTGCTTTCACAACCTGTGATATGAGGTCAATGATTCAAACTCTTACTAAAAGTGTCAAAATCTCACTGTGTTGGGGCCCTTTTTGATGGCTACCCACTTTCAGCAAGAAGATTCTGCCTTTACTTTCAGATAATGTTGTTAACTCATTTCAGCTAACCAGAACGTTTAATCATAGACAGTATGTCGACGATGCAGGTGTACAGTATGTGTGTACTGTATGACAAACGTCTGCTCTGTATGACAAATGCAGGTGCTCCCGCATCCTAAATGCAGCTGGAGAGCCACGTATCTTCAAACCTCGGGATAGAGATGAAATGGTCAAGAAGGTGATCGAACCCATGGCTTGCGACGGACTAAGAACGATCTGCATTGCTTATCGTGACTTTCCGGGAAACCCTGAACCTGAGTGGGATAATGAAAATGAGATTGTGGCAGATCTGACTGGAATTTGTGTTGTTGGCATAGAAGATCCAGTAAGGCCTGAGGTGAGAGAGAGTTCTTAAACTGAAGAAAAAATATATCTTTTTTCACAGTTTTGACCACCGTTTGTTCCTATTTACAATCTTTTTCTGACTTTGTGACAGAATGGAAAATTATTCTTGTGCCTGACGCTGTAATTTGTTCCTGTCTTTGGGGAGCTTGGGTATAAAGGTTATAGATGTGTTAGTGCTGATGTTTGAAATGATTTTCATTTCTTTATTCCATTTAATACAGGCAGCTTGAGGCTCTGTCATTGAAAAAAGTATGACTAGAATAAACATAGGATTCCATTTGCTGAAAAATGTCACTTTAGATGGAGACCAATATCATGGGAAGCATATCTAATGCTTCTTTATCACCTGGATTTGTATTTTAATCCTATTTTAGTCTTCATGGATAACAGTAGAGATATAGAGCAAAAAAAATGTATTGTACTTTAAGTTATAAACTCATATACAGTTAGTTTTGATGTTAGAGGTCTTTACCGAAAACATTTATGCCATACAATAATATGGTCCAATGTGTGTTCGGGATGGCTAGTGTACAGTATCTGCAAGTTGTCTACAGAAGGTTTATCTAAAGCAGTAGCATCTGAAGGATTAAATTGTTAAAATCATCCACTTAACACAGTAATAATCTGATTGAAGTCATTATGCCTTCATTATTAATTCATTATGAGTTGAAACACCTTTCCTTTTGTGGGCGGATTGGATACTGACAACCCTGGTGCACATTATTGAGGTTAAAACGAGTATTTAGAACTAAGTTAATCTGTCCATTCTGTAAATTAATTTTCCTCAATTAAAAACATCCATCCGTGCATTTTCACTTCTGCTTTTCCTGGTGAGGGTTGCGGGGAAGCCGGAGTTACCCCGCAAGCAACGAGCGCAAGGCAGGGTACACCCTGGATGGGGTGCCAGTCCATCGCGGGGCCAGTGCAAGCCAATCATACACGGGGACAATTTGGAGGCCACAGTAAGGGCCTGGGGGGGAAATTCGGCCCAGACTCTGGGATAACTCCCTGCTCTTCTCGAGAAATGCCTGGGGATCTTTAATGACCACTGACAGTCAGGACCTCGGTTTAACATCTCGTCTGAAAGATGGAATTAGAAACATTTTTTGAATCCCCTTAAATGTCTTTTGAATTGCCAACATTTTATTTTTAAAATGCTACAACAGAGCATACTGTACAAGAAATTTGGAATACTTTTGGATAATTCATCAAATTGATCTGAGAGAAATATGGTAGGCCTGGTTTTATTTCATGGCTCTTTGTGTGTAGGTGCATACTAGAACGCTTGGCAACTTTTGAAATAAGCTTCTGTAGTTTCCCAAATATATATATATATTTAAATCAGTAAGAAAGATTACTAAAGAAACTGTGACTTAATACTGATCAGCTGTTCTTGGCTTCAGTCAGTCTCAGACAAAAAGACAAGACGCATTAAAACCATGTCCTTAGCTAGCAGTACCTCTGAGCCCACAAAGGAATTAGAATCCAGCTCTTCTCCTGCATAATTCAGATACTGTCTTTTATCTTTTTTCTGCATTTCTTTCTTTCTCCTTCCCCTTGTCTCGGGGGCTATGCTGTATTATAACTGTCAGCATGTTGAGGTCTCCTGCAAGAAGCAGATGATTTCTGTGTAAGAAAATAAAATTGAGGAAAAAGAAAAAATAAATTGCACAGATTCCATTTGTGAATCCCCATAAAGGAAACACAAGCAGAAGAGACTTTTGAGATTTTTTTTGTTCTCCCTTTTAATAAATTGCTTCAGATGGCTTAGTAATAAAATGTCAGAAAAACCAAAGAGACTTAATAAGTCTTTTTCGATATTAACTTGAAACAGAGTCCAGTCCATGCCCTTCAGTTGTTAATTCTGTATCGCTGTTTGGATTTTAAAAAAATATGTATTATCCTCCCAGCTTTATAATTGGAATTAACAATTCTGTTTAACTCAGAACATCAACATACCCCTTCACTAACCCAGGACAACTGAACAGATGTTTGCTATTAATTTTACTTTGTTGACATGTCAGACAGTAAGCAGTTCATCTTGTGCAAAAAGTGCTAAGAGTGGTGCAAAACAATAAGAATTTGACAGAATAAAACAAGTGAAACAATACTGAATACATCAGTTACAACCAACATAGAGATGAATTGTACAGTCTCAAGGGCACAGACTGAAGAGGTGGATCAGGAAGAGGTGACGAGACACTGTGTGTCAGCTGCTTCTAGGTATCTGGTTTTACTACAGGGGTGCAAGAAAGAAGAATGTGCTGCACAAGTGACAGGAGAGCGAACAGAAGGACCAACTAATTTATCTGTGGAAGGAGACCAGAGAAAGAATCGGGGTATGAGGACAAATGAGGGGCTTAAGATAGGAGGAACAGAGTGGTGAAGTGAACAGTAAGTAAGGCAAGGATCTTTAGTGGACAGATGTAGGTATTTCATTGAGAGTTGGAAGAAAATGGGAGAAGGCAGAGGGAGAAGACCATAGGAGAAGGGAGGTAGGGAGGTTGTGGTAGAGTTGGAGAAGGCCGTTGATACCAGGATGCTCTTTAGGATGAGAGTTGAGGTCCAAAGAGAAAAAGAGCCTGGATCAGGAGGAAAGAATTAGGGCAAATCCGCGTACTTGTATCTTTTGATTTCCAAAATCAAAATGTTAGTGTCTACTGCAGGATACATACTGTAGCATCCACTGATCCACTGATAGTGCTGCAGTAAGATCAGTAAGGACACGTCCAGTGAGTCATTTCAGAAGGGCTAATTAGCTGGGCCAAGCTAATTTTTCAAGGTATCTAAAGTCCCACAAGTGCTGGCCGCAGTCAAAGAGCAGTGCAGTCTCAATGCAAACCAACCTCATTTGTCTTTGGCACACCTCTGCTGCAGGTGTCTAGTTTACATCTAGATTCATGTAGTGACAGTGATGAGAAAGAAGGATGTAATTTTGTCATTTCTGAGTTATCCACATCAATGTCTCTGTACAAGAAGAAATTTGAAGATTTTGTATTTGCAATATTTTTCCATCTACAAAAAAACTTAAAAATTGGACAGAACAAATTGACAGCCCAGATGGAGAGCTTTGGTGCAAATTATGTCCTGAGAGTAACTGTAAAGAGCATTTGCACTATTTTTTTTCTTTTTCAGCAAGTTAATATCTACAGTCTACAGTATTTGTTGGAAAGTAATAGATTATTAATTGGGGAATGCATTGAACCTTATTTACTTTTAAAATAAGGAGTTGTGAATATACTACTTGAAAACTCATATAAGTTTATATCAGTGTGCTTTATTATTCATACAAGTCACAATAAGGGTACTGTATATACTACCAATTATACAAAGAAATAAACTTAATTCCAGTTAGAGTGCACAGCTATTTTTTCAGAAATTATCTTACTTGAACTTTATGTTGTTCTGTATGTATATTGAGTAGCAATGAAGGTATACCCTTGTTATTTGAACACTGAAAAAATGCTTAGCTATCGTTTCTTACCTTTAAAAGACACGTAAATAGTATTACATTAGGCAGAGTGAACTACATATCTAATGTTACAAAGTTAACTGCCACCTCTGCTGGTTTACATTATTAATGTAACTCTCTTCTTCCCCTGTGTTTCTCAAATGAGTTAAGTGGAGCTTGACAGAAACCTTAACAGACTTTTTATGTGATATATGGAACTCAGTAAATGTTTTGCTCTGTGCCCTAGCAGATACTATCATTGATTCTCAAAGCACTGGTTCTTAATTTCTGTTCTGAGCGTGTGGAGCCTATTTGACAGGTGTAATCATACACGATAGGTTTATGTTCCACAGTGCTTACTGTATGAAAACAATCCATTTACTGTGATGAATTATTGATTATGTACTGTAAATAAATGTAAAAATAAAACAATAGCCTCAGAAGTAAAACAAAATCGTAAGTCATTCCATTATGCTCGTCAAAATTTACAATGGCTAAGGTTTCAACCTCAGGTTTAGTGTAGATTGTAGATCCATAGAAATATACAGTCGCTAAACAATCTGTCATAAGAAATGGCTAGTATAACATTGTTACAAAATGTTTTTTACGAGATAATTGCTAGGTAACAGACTTGAAAAAAATGCTTTTTAACAATGGGAATTTCAAAGTCTAAATTAATTATCCTGGTGATGTGTTCTTTAAATTAAGGACATTGTTTAAGGATTTAGAAAAAAATGTTGATCCATTTTTTAAAGTTAATGAAATGTAATGTTAGCTAAAGTCTGTTATCCCCACAGCAATCACAACCAAGGCAGTAATGGGTAAATACTATTATTGTTTTGATCTTGCTGAATTTACAGTTACTGTGTTGTATTTCTGCTCTGATCATTTAAACTTTGTAACTCAAAAGTTTTATTCCTATCAGTAATAATATTGTGTTATTATCTTACTGTATCATCTTACTTCCAATAACAAAAATATAATTTCATTCATGCAGCAAAAGTACAACGTGAGTAAGGAGATTCTTAATCCCTAATTTTATACTGAGGAAGTTCAGTTGCATTCAAGAAATGAAAAGACTATCCTTCAGATTTGCTGTGTAAATTTATGCGTCGCACTGTAGTGTTCCAATTTAAAGCTGTGCTCTTTTGATCTCCTAGCAGTATATAGGTTTGAAGAGCAGGTGTGCCTATACTGACCTTTTGATAATTAATCATGTTTTTGATTGATGTATCTCTAATGATAGGTCCCTGAAGCCATCAGAAAGTGTCAGCGGGCAGGCATCACTGTCCGTATGGTCACTGGCGATAATATCAACACTGCCCGGGCCATTGCCATTAAATGTGGAATTATTCATCCAGGGGAAGACTTTTTATGCATAGAAGGGAAGGAGTTCAACAGAAGGATTCGGAATGAAAAGGGGGAGGTAAGAAACGTGTAGAAAAAGTTAATCAGCCTAGTTGTTATTGGTGTCATGTATATGCAATTTTAATGACTTACATTAATTATTCTTTTTCACTTTTATCTTTAAATAATCCAGTGTAACATTCCATAACATCACAAAATAATAATATTTGTGCATTTTTCACTTTGGCTTGTCGGCTTTTTGTTAACCAGTTTGCACATAATCATTTACAGTAGTACCCCCTCTAATGCTCCTGCTCAAACCTTCTTATAGTTTGATTGTCTCTTCAGTTGAAATAATGAAATAAATAAGACCAATTTCAATGTGATTTGGAACTTTTATTTTCTATTCTCTTAGATTGAACAAGAACGAATTGATAAGATCTGGCCTAAACTGCGAGTGCTTGCAAGATCCTCCCCAACTGACAAACACACCTTAGTTAAAGGTACGAACTGATCATTCTTATGGGTTTTGATGAATAATTAGATTCTTCTTGGTTTAAAAATGTTCTAGCCCAGGTGGCACAGTGGCACACTCATTAGTAATGCTGCCTCGCAGTGCTGGGGCCCTGGTTTCAATTCTTGGGGTTTTGTCTGTGTGGAGTTTGTATGTTCTCCCCATACGCATGGGCTTCCTCTGGGCTTTTCGGGTATCCTCTCCTATCAGTCCAAAGCTACAGTATACTGATACTGTTTTTTTGAAACCCCTTGCTTGCCAGGATAAGCTCCAGTTCTCCTGTGACCATAAAACGGTTAGAAAATGAATGGATGGATTCTAAGTCCAGTTTGATAATAGACTTTTGGACTTTTAAGTACTGCATGAACTGAAATTATGATTGCTTTAATACTCCTTATGGCTAAAATAGTTTTTGATGTTTCCGATCTAAGAAACAGTTGATTTTTCAAAACTCTTCATGTGGTTCTGTAGCAGGATTTTGTGCAAGGTTTATCGGGAGGTTCGTTTTCCTTTCCAATTTCTTAATATCTGCCCAGTTATAAGATTCTGCCTTAGAGTCCACTTAACTTTACTTACGTTAAAACCAAATATTCATCAATACCATCATTATTTAGGTTGTAAAGTATTGCGTTAAGTCAAACGTTAAAGTCTGAGAAGGTAGAATGAGGACAGAGACAAAAATGGTGCTTTTTTCAAATAATAAAAATTAAAAAAAGAACATTACAAAGATGCACGAATGGATAGAGGGCTACCAAAGACTGTATAGATAAATGTTTTGATGGTGTTGTTGGTTTTGTCAGGTATCATTGACAGCACACAGGTTGACCAGAGGCAAGTTGTTGCTGTAACTGGTGATGGGACTAACGATGGACCTGCCTTAAAGAAAGCAGATGTCGGCTTTGCTATGGTAGGAAGATTAACTTACTAAAATTGCATTGTGTTTCAGCTATGTTACCTCTCCTACAGTAGGTGTGTGACAGAATCAGATGTGCATGGTTTGGGTGATTATGTGCACAGTTTCCTACCAGGCTTCTACTCTTTATGTGCACAATAAACAGCAAGCACATATAACATTTCCAGTAAAAACATCTGCATGTAATTGCCACTGAGCTGGTCTGTTGTTATATACTGTATTTTATTTAAAGCGCTACTGAGCACTGTATCCCAAAACGTGAAAGATTGAAATCAACACATCCATAGACATTAGTTGTAATGTCTTGTGCTGGTTGTTTTCCTTTATGACGATCTGGAACTTTGTACTGTACATTTACTATTTGTAAAAATGATCAGAAACCAAAAGGGCTGTCTCCTTTACAACGCTCCTGAAGGCACCTGCTTCTGCTGCATTACAGGTGACTAGAAATTGAATGTGTGTCTCAGGTGTTGTGTCTGCGGGGAGCATCAGAGTCATCCGCTTTTCAGGTTTAGTTTTTATCCACGAAATCCTGTTAATGATATTAGGAATAATGGAGCCTGGGTGCCCTCTAGTGTACACTCTTAAAAATTTACAAAAAGCTCAATAAGCAATGGAAATACAATCCTATTTCTCATATTTCTTATAACTTCTTTCTGTTGTGGGGGTTATCTGATTAACTGGTTAGGTTTTTTTAATGTATCCTTTATCATTATCCTGTTGTGACCCAGTTTTAAAAATGTATGCTGTCTGCTGAGACACTATAGAGTTATACTGTATGCTTACAGTATATTTACATTAAGGAGTTACAGCATTCAACTGACTTTTTTGATGTGTTGCTTTCTAGTGTTGTGACTACTGTACTGGAGCTCAAAGAAACCCAGAAATGTCCTTTGGCTGTCATTTTTATCCCTTTTTTCTGACGATAAATACCAGCATACTCCTATTTTGCCTGAGGTTATTCTTTGGAAAACATAAATATGATAACAATACCTAATGCCATGCAGGGGCAAAAACAGTGACTGAAGTGGTACAAGAAGGTAGAAGCTTGCTTACAGCAAAAAATAACAGTGTTCAGTAAATTCTTTAGGTTTGCAACTCTGCCTTTCCCACTCATTTTTCACTTTGCTGCAGTTTTGCCAGCAAATACTGCTGCATGTACAGTACTACTATACCAGTACCACGAGAATAAGGCATTTTATTCTACATAATAACACATTTGGAATAGCTAGTTAGTTTTGTCCATCTGGTTTGACGTTGCCAATTGTTTATAGACCCTGTTCATTGGCAACGGAGAGATTATGAAACATGTAGCCAGGCTCCTCGGCCAAACTTACCTGCACAGCACTCATTGACTGACAATCTGTGAGCTCGACCTAATAGGAGCCTTCTCACCAGCTGGAGGAGCAGGGTGTCTCTCACTGACATCAATGCTTATCTGGATATGGCCAGCAAGTTGCAGACGGTGACTGTTTGCCGGAAGGCTGAGAGAGCCCTGGCCATCTGATCCTAGCCTAATTAGCCATTTGTTTCCTGCACTTGGGGAATCGCTGTTCACAGCTGGCTTATGACATGGCTCAAGCTAGTGAGGCAGTGAATTTGCCAGCTTTTAAATATTCTAAAGCAAACTGAGACATACAGTATCTTGGCCGATAGACAGTTTATCTTCTCTCTTTTTAACTTGCAGGGAATTGCTGGTACAGATGTGGCCAAAGAAGCCTCAGACATCATTCTGACTGATGATAACTTTTCAAGCATCGTGAAAGCTGTGATGTGGGGCCGCAATGTGTATGACAGCATCTCAAAGTTCCTGCAGTTCCAGCTGACAGTGAACGTGGTGGCGGTGATTGTTGCTTTCACTGGAGCTTGTATAACCCAAGTAAGAAGTGGGAATGGGGTGCACAGAACTTTTTAAATTATAGTAAAATTATAATCCCAAATTATTTTCAATTTGAAAATCTTTCTCAGCCTTGAAAGTGGCAGCATTGATCATGACAGTGCTTTATTTAATGCTTGCTTATTTAAATATTAAAATCTGCTTTCATATGAAGCTGTTTTGAGGCTATTTTGGTTGAAAAGGGAAATCACACAGTTAAAAAAGTATTCAATTTTTCTGTGATAGGCAGAAGTCAATGTAATTTCCATTTCAAAACCGGATCTTAATTGTGGTCAACACAAATGTATCTATCGTGCATGATGTACTGTATTTGAACTGGAACTGAAGTGTGATTCAAAATTAAGTGAAAAATAAAAAATGTGCTCTAAAAATGTATTATTTTCCAAAGGAAATCAAAGCTATGAGCATAATATAAGTGTCTTTTTAAGTCTGAAATGAACATCTCTGTTATGCTGAGAGTTTTGGCAGCAGCCTGAGTTTCTGCTTTTCATCTTTTTACAATGAAATTGTCAATTAGCAAAAGAACAACGTACTTTACAACATCAAGAAGTAAGACATATATGATTGAGAAGATTTGTACGCAGCAAGGCTCTTAGTCACAGAAAAAAAAATCACATTTGTTTCATCATATCTCAAATGAGATGCATATTACATAATTTACATTGGACATAATTTTATAATAGTAAATATTAATAAGTATATAAATATAAGTTATAATAAATCCATTGGATTGAAATATATGTAGGGCACTGGGGAAATTTAGATCACTGCCATAAAGTCTTTCTAAATTTACAAGGGAAGGCATTCAATCTGTAAGCATTAATATAAGGATTTCCCAGAGGATTTCTTCCTGCAATAATACTGTTTAGATCAAGGGACTCTAATGCTCTAGATTGGAACTGTTCTCTTGCCGTTTGCTTGAAACAGAAATAGCACCACAAATTAGTCCTAGATCCATGCCATTGAGCCAATAGCCTAAAAAGACACTTAAACTTGTTAAAATTTAGTCAGAACAAAGCTCTGTACTTGGCAATATAGTTTCCATTACTTTCAATTTGCATCCCTTTTAATTCAGTTGTATAAGCCATTAAAGCTAATTTGGCTTTTAGGCTGATGAAATAAAACTGGAATTTCATTCCTATATTTTTTCTACTTACATTCACAGATTCATTGAGTAAAAATATAACAGCCTTTGTTAAAAACAGATGGAGCATTTACTCATCTATATGAATTGGGCCACAATAACATTAGTCTTCGCAATGCAACATTATCTTCCATATGATGTAGTAAATGCTCTTGTGTTCCTTAGTTGCTATCTGTAATGGATGGAATGCAGACTTATAAAGAGAAAGCAGAGTTACAATTATAAAGAAAAGTAGCTGGATTCATCTATAAACATCCTTTACCTTTAAAATTATAGGCCATAACCAAGCTTCAGGAAGCAAATACCTCTCCAGTCTTTAAGTGATGTTTGTCAGAGATTGTGGTGAGCAGAAAATGGCTTATCAAAATGAATATAAATTTAACTTTAGCCAACATACCAAGGTAATGCGTATTTAATGTGTAAGCCTCAGTTTCGAATTGTTTTCCACACATGAATGACCAGCAGAATGAATTACATAATGTGCTGTTGTCAGACTGAGCTCCCGGGCATTGACATTTTGAAATAATGGAAATGTTTCTTCCTTCTTAACAAGTGGTTACCTGCTATACTGTAGGTACAGCATGTACAGTAGCTGAACCTTCTTTGTCAGTACATTTTTTAGTGAATCAGTGTTTTTCAATGTTGTCCTTCTGGGACCTGGTTGAATGTCAAGAGCTCAGCTCCTCACTAGCTTCCTAACCAGTCTATTACCCACCCTGGCTAGACACCATGCTCTACAAGTACCGTCTGGAGTTTTTTTGCTTGAACTTACTTTGGACTCGGAGAAAAATTCAGCTTATTTAAGTTCACCATCTGATGCCTAAGAAATACAATTGTCACTTGTCAAAAACCCTTGAAGACCACTGTCTGTATATTATTCTCCTCTTGAGACAGTGTTTTAGGTAGTACAACTTTGGTTTGGAGTCTTAGTTCCATATTACAGCCCTGACCTGGGGAAATGTCATACTAATTACAGTAAATTCACTTACAGTACCACAAAACAGGGAGCCTTGAGTTTTTGGAATATTGGAGAAGGATGCAACTGTGCTGCAGGGCATTGCTCTACTTTTGCCTCATGCCAGACATGATTTCATTTATTAATATTCCAGATCAGAATACAGGATTATGATTTTATACAAAATTAATTTGTGACACAGATAATGCACCTTCGTTGCAAAAGAACAAGTGTGCTTTACACCAACTAACATGATCTGTATTGTAGTGTTGTTCTTTATTTTCCTCTAGGATTCCCCACTGAAGGCTGTTCAGATGCTGTGGGTCAACCTGATCATGGACACCTTTGCCTCTTTGGCTCTGGCTACAGAACCACCAACAGAGTCCCTTCTGATGAGGAAACCCTATGGAAGAAACAAACCACTCATTTCACGCACAATGATGAAAAACATTCTTGGTCATGGTGTTTACCAGCTAACCATCATTTTTACTCTTCTGTTTGTAGGTGAGTGATCTTAGCTGTGAAAATTAAATATTGTTATTTCCTCCCACTGTTCTTGAAAGGATATCTTACATAGTGTATGTGGTAATACTGCAGATGAATTCCCTTGACATAAAAGGTCATTTATAATATGGGGTAGTGGGGGTGTATAAAGTACAGCCAAGGTTAAGTTAATCGGGTGACAAATAAATTGGTCATGTTTTCCTTCAGGTGAAAGACTTTTTAACATCGACAGTGGAAGGAACGCACCTCTCCACTCCCCTCCATCAGAGCACTACACGATTATCTTCAATACTTTTGTTATGATGCAGCTCTTCAATGAGATAAATGCCCGTAAAATCCACGGAGAAAGAAATGTCTTTGATGGTATCTTCAGGAACCCAATCTTCTGCTCTATTGTAGTGGGGACATTTGCTATTCAGGTAACAGACTATAGTTTAGTTCAGGAGCCAAAAAGTGATTATTTTTACGTCGGGGTGAAAGTCTTCTTTTCTGTTGAGACTAAAATACCTTAAATAGGTTTAGATGCTGAGATAGCCAATGATGAAAACTTTCTTCCACGTTGTTACAGATAATCATCGTGCAGTTTGGGGGTAAGCCTTTCAGCTGTTCCCCTCTAGACATTGACAAGTGGATGTGGTGTGTATTTCTTGGAATGGGCGAACTGATATGGGGACAGGTAATTTATAAAAGTTTAAAATGTACTGTATAGATATTGTGCATGTAACAGTTCATTCCATTATATTTGTTATTTTGCAGAGAATATTGACTTGACTCCTGAGAGTTAAAAAGAATATTGCCAACTAAATAAAGAAGGAGTTTTCCATATGTTTTTTTAAAGCCTTCACAACAAAATCAAATTGATAAGAAAATGCTTTGCCTAACATTTTCTGAAGGCACAGTATTTTTTCATAATACGTGACTTTTTGACTTCTTCCCCAGGTCATTTCAACAATTCCAACAAGCAGGCTGAAGTTCCTGAAAGAGGCCGGCCAGCTTACCCAGAAGGATGAGATGCCAGAAGAAGAAATGAATGAAGATACTGAGGAAATTGACCATGCGGAGAGAGAACTGAGACGTGGGCAGATCCTGTGGTTCCGTGGACTCAACAGGATCCAGACTCAGGTAAGAAGAAATGCAAAATGATACTTTCAAATCGCTGTACATTTCTGGTTTGCATACAGTAAGTTGTTATGTTTAATGCCTTTGGTATCCTAATACCATTAGGTTTAGAATTATTATTATTATCCTTGCTGTATGAAGAGCTTGACAAATTAGTGCAGACTACTGTACCTTCATTCAAATATTCAAAAGCTTGTTTTTGATTGTTTTGGAGGAATTGATTCTGCTGGTCTTATGTTGACATCACCCACTTTGATCATGTTCACTCTGAAGGCACATGTGCGATCTCAGAGCTGGAGAAGTAACATCTCCCTTTTTCTTAAGCTGTCATTACATTTCTGTCCATTCTAAAGAAAATAAGGTTCACTCCCATTTCTCTACCCCCACCCCCATCCTAACACACATACTCATTCCAGATTTCCACTTGCACATCTGTATTCCCTTTGAAAATGGCTCCCTGCTAAAACAGATGAGGACCCCTGGGCCACGTCATTAATATAAATCCACCACACTGTCCTTGGCAACTAATGGCAAGGGAATTAGTCCAGTCTTCCTAGTAGAGTGTAAAAGTTTAATTTAGAATGATTTTAAGTGAGAGCAAATCTTACTTATTATTTATTAATTAATTTACAACTAGTCTTTCCTACTCCATAGTCATTCATGAACTACATAATAGTAGCAGTACCATTCATAAAGTATTACTCACTAATGAATAAAAATGATGTTTTTTTTTTGCTTTCTTTTGTTATTCATTGTAGGTATTCCATTTTTATTATTATTATTATTATTATTATTATTATTATTATTATTATTATTATTTCACATCTCTACAACTGGTTTAAGGCAGTATACAGCAGTACTAGTCTCACAATGAATAACACCCATATACTGTATATATAATAGCATATACACAGAAATTATAACACAGCCTTAGTCATATCAGATTCCTCTTCCTGGAGTTGCCTTCCTGCACCTTTTGCCAACTGGGCTAGGTGAGAGGAATGGCCTCCTCTCATTTGTACATGTTCTTGTGTTCTTGTGTTCAATCTAAGCAGACTGTCTCGTTCTCTCCTCCATTGCAGATTGAAGTAGTGAATACATTCAAGAGTGGTACTTCCTTTCAGGGAGCTCTGAGGCGGCAGTCCTCCACCACCAGCCAACACCAGGATGTAACCAATATTTCTAGCCCTAGTCACGTATCGTTGTCCAATGCTCTTTCTTCTCCTGCCAGTGCTTCTGCTGCTACAGCTGGGCGTGAGTGTGAATTCTTAGTGTGCACCTCAGTGATGCCACCTAGCCTGGACTCGGGAGTATTGCATCACCAAAACTGCCTTTACCGCTAATACTGTGAATACTGTACCATTGATTCCTCCACAAAGCAGTTCAGTGACTCTCAGGGGTAATATAAGAACATCCTTTAATTCTTTGGAAGACTTTTTTTACATTAAAGGAAAGATCTGATGGCATAGTGGTATTTGAATGTGTTTCTATCCTATATTTTCTACCTTAAAAGTATTTTATGACAATTACATTGACTTTTTTTCATACTGTAACTCTTTAAGTTAAAATTGTGCTGGCTTGCAGACACTTGCCAAATTCTAACTACAGTAGAATCCTAAGTTCATTTTGGCTTTCGTTTTTTATGAGAAGTGCTTTTACATGAAAAATTTCCGTATGTGAGAGATTAAAAATAATCACGTGCCTTTGCATACAGTGTCCGTATACTATGTCAACAGGACCCCAGAAATACAATACTTTCACTGTTGATTCAAATTACATTCGGTACAGCCTTGAGGTCTGCATCCATTTATTTGCCTCCCATATTTTCAAAGGAAATTTGAAGCAGAGGGGCTATAATAAAGACTTGGGTTCATTTTCCATAATTCTATTATGATATTTCTAGTACAGTATATGGGTCACTCGGTGGCACATTGGTTTGCATTGCTACCTTCCAGTGCTTGGAGCACTTGGCACATTTCCTGGAGTTATCTCTTTGTGGAGTTTGTATATTCTCCAAGTGCTTGCATGGGATTCCTCTGGGTGCTCCATTTTCCTCCCACAGTCCAAAGACATACTGGTAGGTTAATTGGCTTCTGGGAGAATCAGCCCTTGTGTGAGTGTGTTTGTGTGTCTGTGATGGACTGGCATCCTGTCCAGGATGCATCCTGCCTTGCACACATTGCTTGCTGGGATAGGCTCCGGCTCCACCTTAACCCTGCAAATGATGAATGCAGTTAGAAAATGGATGGATTGCTAGTATTATTTAAAACACGGGGCCAACGATACAGTATAATAAAGGTGTTTATCCATATGTTTGACAGAACCTAATAATAAGCAGACATTCAAATTGTTCAAGAGTGTCTAGAGGGTGGCATCTCTGAATGAAGCTTTTTTCTCCCCCCCCCCATCTTTGGAAATTCTTTCCCTTTAATACTTTTCTTATTGGTATTAAATGTAGCACATGGGTTCTTAAACTACTGGTCAAGACCAAACCTGGGTAATGAGTACCATTCCCATATGTCTGGGGCTCTGGGGCAGAGGCAGGTATGGATCTGCATCTCTTGCTCAAGGACTTTATAATGTTTATGTGCTCCAGCCTCTAGAATGTGTGAAAGACTTGTACCACAGTTCACATGGGAACCTTACCCAAAGACACCTCCCTCATTTCCCCAAGACAGACAGGCCAGAAGAAGGCTGAGGGATGTACTGTATTAATTCTGGTCTTTTCCTAGAAAAGTTTAAGAACCCACTATTTAGCACACACATCTCTCCAGAGAGTTTTCTGTTTTGTCTGAATGTCAAATATGTTTGTTTTCTTCAGAGTGCTAAAGAACCCTGGCCAAAGGGTGCACCAGGCGGAGTGAATTTCAGGTTGTGAGTCCTACAGTGTGAATAAATTTCCCTGACAACAAACTCACCAGGCTGGGTAAACATTCAAGTATAAGCCACCAATAAACCAAGTCTGTATCACTTCATATTGCATTCTAGTATTGCAAAAGACTCTCTGATATTTCACCTCTTTTGGGCTAAGGAGTACAATTATCTTTCCTTGTTTTATGCCAAGTCTCACTTTACAGGACTAAAGCAAGAGGCTTGCTTTCTAGCTGCTGAGAAGACAGAAGATGTGCCTGTGGAATTAAGGATTCCTGAAGTCTGTCCGTCATAGTCCTGTCAAAACCTTCATATTGTTGTTGTCTGTATTTTGTAAACCAAAATCTCAAAAGTTGAAGTAACTCATTATGTCCTGTGCTTTGTCAGTCACGTCAGTCATGTACTGTAACTTCTGCAGTGCCAGCTGTTCCCGGTTTAATGCTGGGCAGTACCATTTAATGTGATCTGCCCTGACATTCATTTTCATCCATTTTTAAAATTATTTTACATTATTTTTTCCAGAAAATAAATTTTCATAGCTGCTTGCTGACTTATAACTTCTGAACAAGTAAATGCGTTTTTAACTAATGAAATGTCAGGTCAAATCATGTTTGATGTTTATTGTAGCTGTTCCATGTCTTCTAAAATCTGCCAATCTAACATTCACAGCGTATTTCTGAATTTAAGTAAGGAATTAAGTTTGACATCTGCGTGTCACCAAAATGGTATTATCAATTTTGCCATGCGTGAATCACATTTAAAAGGCAACCATTGTTTCTTTAATGATTTATTCCTGAAAGCATGTATTTTTAAAAAATGCTTCAGTATTTAAAGCAGTTCAAATGATAAATATACAGTAACTTATAAACAGAAGATTTGTACTTATTAAAATTGTTACCAAGATAAAAATATATAATATGAAATATTATTAGATGTTGTTTAATATTAATATGTAATTTGAAATGTATTAGAAAACAGATATCGAGGAATGAAAAGACAGCACTTAAAGTAGATAAGTTAAATGCAGATGTTTACTTTATAAGTTGACAAGTACTGTAAGAGGACAACTCCGATACTCATTATTCTAGAGATCAATGATTTAGACAAGCAAGACTGTTTTCTCTAGACACAGAATGTTACCAGCCCTCACAAAATAAGTTGATCTTAAAATAAAAATATCACAAGATTCTGAATATTTTAATAAAGGAATGTGAGCATACTCTACTGTAGACAATGGAAAAGTTCACTGGATGTTAGCTCGTAAAAGGGCATTCAGGAAACTTATTTGACAAGTTATTTAAATATAACCTTTGGGACATTTTGTTTTAGTGTGGGTAATATTTGTCCTGATATCATTTTATAAAGGGACATTTATACTGCTACAGTCTATTAATTATTCTTGGATAACTTTGTTAGGAAACATTTTTAAAAACATTAAATGCGTATAAAGAGTGTTTTATAGATTTTTATTGTTTGGTTTGGAATGTTAAATTGCAAAATTTAAAGAGAGAGAGAACCTGTCGGGGCCTATACTTGAGTGTTTACTTCAGATGTGCATGGAGCTGAGCTTGTAAAAGAAACTAGATCTATTCACCAACTCCAGGCTTCAGCATAGAGCTTGTCTGTGTGCCAATGTTCATTGTTACTGTGGATCAACATGTCTTGTACTGCATGTGTTCTTCAATATGTTGTCTGTTTGGCTTTGAAGCTTCTAGGCTGCCTCCATTTTGTTTTGCAGTCATGCCTTTAAGCAGCATAAAGCTAATTATAGCTGTGTCCTCAAACCAGTACATTTCTTTTCTGTGCTTCTTGTGTCTATTTTGTAGTCTTTGTGGACGTCTTTTTTTTTGTTTTTGTCTTCCAAATATCTGCAAAACATCTTGAAATCTGAACTTTTCTTCCTACTTACTCTTAACTCACTGCAAGACTTTTTCAACATGCATGGGTTTTTGCGTTGCCATTTTTATTAACATGGCTTGTCTCTAGGTATACGCCATTGGATCTTTGCATATATAACCAGTGCTGCCTGTAATTTCTTCAGTGGCTTTTTTTTACTGACAGTTTTTATTGCAGTCCCTACCGAACTACCACAATGCACGAAACTGAGTGAGTTGTGTATGCTTCTAAAGTCTCGTGACTGTGGACTTCAGCTATCTGCGCCACCTTAACGATGTGCTGTCTCTATCTTAGTAAATACTAAATGAAGGGCTGTTTTGGGTTTGTTTTGGAATTGTGACCTAGCGATTTGTCGTTCGTCTTTTGCAGATACGCGTCGTGAAGGCGTTCCGTAGCTCTCTCTACGAAGGGCTGGAGAAGCCTGAATCACGAACCTCCATTCACAACTTCATGACTCACCCAGAGTTTAGGATAGAAGACTCTCAGCCCCACATCCCTCTTATTGATGATACTGACATAGAAGAAGATGCAGCGCTCAAGCAGAATTCCAGTCAGCCCTCATCACCCAATAAGAACAACAATGCAATCGATAGTGGCATTAATCTTACCACTGACACAAGTAAATCAGCTACCTCGTCAAGTCCAGGAAGCCCGTTACACAGCCTGGAGACTTCCCTTTAGCTGAACATATCTTTGCAAAAAAAACACAGAAAAACATGTCAAGAAATGCAACAACAGAAGCAAACAAGAACAGTGAAATACGAATGAACTGCTGGCTTAAAAACTGTTCTCGATGTGCTAGTTTTTGCTGCGTGCAGAAAATAGGGCGCTCCTTCTGGAGTGATGAGAGAGAGCATAATCCCACCCACTCACCCTTCCAATAATGACAGTTAACAAAATAAAGCGCTCCTGCATGAATGTACATGACCCTTTTTTAAATTAATTTTGTTTTTATTTCTTTTTTTTTTCCTGTGGGGACTGCTGTGGACTTTCAATTTAAGACAGCTTACCCCGTTCACTGGTCTGTGACTTTTTGAAGTGATTGTGTGGCATGGACTTAATTGTATAGATTTATTTAATTAAAAAAGTGTATTGAAGTTGCAGGGCTCAACTTGCACAGTAGATTTGCACCAATTGGAAAAAAGAAACTTATAAATAATAGCATTTATTAAACATATATATATACAATTTTCTTCTTTGTTTAATGGCATGTTGCCTTGTTTCTGCTTAAATGGCTCTTAATACTTTAACTTATTTATGTCCTAAAGAGAATGTAATTTGTTTACAAAACCTGTAGATACTTCCTTGTTTATTTGTAGGTTTCAAACCATTCTGCAGATGTAGTTTGAGCAGCTCAAGTTGTTGAATACTTCTGTAATATTGGACTCTAGGTGTTTTATTACAAACTGTGTACTGAATTTGCCTGCTATTTTGTTAAATATTGTAGATATTTTTAGAAGATAACAAAAGAAGCCAAAATATATTGGAATATATTATTTAATGTGGCATTTTAGTATTACATGATTGTGGGGAACAAAACTGAAAGGCTTCCTCTGTTTCCAAATACAAATCTTAAGATATAGGTTCATTTTTTTCTTTGCTTTGTTTGCTTTTTTATTAAAATGCTTGAAATTCATTTTTGGTCAGTCTCCAAACTGAGAGGGCCATTCTGGACTGATTTTAATGAACTGTCTGCTATATAAACAACTGCTTGTTTAACGGAAATGTTTTAAATTACTTGTGACCATCAAAGGTTGTGATGGGTTTATAATATTAGAAACAATTGCAAAATAAGTTATATTTGGCATTATCTGTATGAAAAATCAAAGGTTGTGTTGAAATTTTGTGATATATTGTGTTGATTTTATTTCTTTCTTTTTCGTTTAGTAGTTTAGGGTTTTTCTTAAAAAGACACAAAATCACAGCTTTAGGGCTGTTGGCATTTTGAACAACTTAAAAAACACTATGGATTGTTGATTTTGACTTTTTTAAAATGATCATTTTCTGCACTATCTGGATCTGAATGAAACTTTCTGTGGTGTATATTTCCGGTAGATGTGCTTTTGTGTGATTCTAACCAAGCTTGTCTTCCTGCAGTCACTAAATATACTATAGCATCTCAACAGTATTCAGTAGTTGTTAACTATTTATTGTGCTTTCTAAAGGTAAGGCAGTTTGAAGAGATATCATGGAGGATAGATTAATAAATGCATCAAGATGTTAACAGCCCTTGTATTATTATTATTATTATTATTATTATTATTATTATTATTATTATTATTATTATTATTATTATATATTGGGGCTTACATGGAAGCACGAAGCCGTCCTTATATTGGAAAAATACAGGTTAAATCCTATTTTCTATACTGTATGGATTTGAATTAGTTGGCCTGCATTTGTTTTTCTGTAAATCTAAGCAGCTTCTGACCCTACTAAAGGGTGGAAAGGCTTTAACTGTTGGCTCAGGCATTTGTGAATGACTTTATTGAAGGGACCATGATTTAAAATATGTTCAAACAATCATAAAAATGGTCTTTTCTGTAACTTCTTGTTAAATTGTTTTTTTTTACATGTTCAAAGAAAAAAATCAGACAACTCCTAAAAAAACATTTGTACATTAATCAAAATCGGGGTTTAAAACAATTAATGGTATTAAATCATACATTCTTTGTAAATAGCAAACTAACTTACTTCATCTGAGATGCACATACAGTAAGTGTAGGATTCTGTTAGCAAGGACTGTACAATGTACACTTTATGTGACACAACATTTGTTTTCAAGTCTGATTAGCTATTAAGTTACAAGTACAGGTCAAGTATTCTGAACTGGAACAAAGTTTTTAACTTTGTTGCTTTAAATTTCTGATGCTGTTGTTTGCAAATGGTACTATATATGATGAATTTATTTAAACAAAACACTGCAATACTTAAAATGCTTCTACATACTGTCCTTAGCAGCATGAATTTTGTGGAACAAGAAAAAAAGCCAGTGGTATATTTGGCAGTCAAGCCATTTATGGGTAAATGATATGTGTTCATCAATCTTGTTTTTATGATTTTTTTATCTAGACAATAATTGTAAATAAAGAACTCTGTGTCTCTGTTCATTTAATACTATGCAAAAAGGTCATGCTTTCTGATTGTTATCTCCTCTTTGCCCCTGATCCCCTGTCCCTAGAGTGTGTTGCTGGAATGTTTGTGGTTTCAAAAGTCAGTAACCAATGTGATGTACATTATTTTATAGTTTGAAGAAAGTTATGAACTGTGACTCTTGTTGCTTACTGTCTATAACACAATTCCTGGCAGAAGCACAAGTGGAACAAAAGAAAAAGCAGAGCATTAAATAAATTTCCAGAGCAGCATGAAATATGATGGTCTCTCTCTACCAGTGTGGCATTTGTGTGACATTTGCTTTAATGTAAAGTAGGCTTCCATTGTTGAGACACTGCTTATTATCCTGAATAATGACCATTAAGTTCCTAACAACAGTGCAATCTGTGCCTCTGTGTTTATATCATCCTGTACTCCAGATGTAACAATTACTTTTTAAGGAGCTTGTCATGCTCCATGAAAATCTCATGCTACTTGATACAGGGGATGAAAAGTTTAGTCAACAGTTTTCTGGTGCATTAATTGAGCTAATGTTGATCCCAAGTGTTGGAAAGTGCCTTTCAGAAAGCAGCAATCAAACACTGAAGAGATAACTGACTGGGATTCTGTCAGCACTTGATGAATCAGTTTAAACTATACAATACCTCTGTGGGGTCACCAGAGATGGTGCAGGAATGTTTACAGAGTTTAGTACTGTATAATGTTGCATGTTGCGTGTCTCTCAAGAGAGATGTGCAAGGTACTTCGCTTGGTTCTAAACATTCAGAGTAACAGGACCTGTTGTGTTACAGTTTGATTTATTGAAAGACATGGACAGAAGTACCATAGTCTAGTAGGAGAGAGATTTAGGAAGATGGGCACAGGGAAATTTAGACAGACTGAATTTGTAATCAGATTTATTTTGAAGTAGACTGTGGCCCTTATGAACAAATACAATCTGTAATCTCCAGTACAGAAATGACCAAAGTTTTGCTTCTTTTCCAAAAGATTGTACTATTTTAGGCAAGGTGACTACTCTTTGATGTATGTTTTTATTTGAAAAGCGTTTTGCTAATGAAGGAAATGAATATGCATCAAGAAATTCTGAGACTGAGGAAACTAAATATCATACTATACGTGAGTAATAATTAAGTTAGTTTTAAAGACAGCATTAATAGCGTATTGTTTCTCACAGTTTGTACACAGACAACAGTTTACCAGTTTACCCACTGTACTGTATGAAACAGGGGTAATATGTGGGGAAATATTTTCATCTACCTGGTTTAATGGACAACTAAAAGGTGAAAATGGTACTTTAAAAAAAACCTTACAAAAAATTCAGTTTTTAGCCCATTGGGTTTTAGAGATGTTAAAGAGAAAATTAACTGGGGTTGGGTGAGGAGGAATTCAACATCAAGGTCTAATGTTAAAATCATTCATCTATTCAGTCTGTGTTTATCAATCTGTTATTTTATGGAGCAAGTCAAGAGAAATAATGAAGAGGTACTCAGTGTTGTTTTGATACCAGTAAACTGCATTTACCTTTCTGAAATTTCAAAACAACTTTCTGTCTTAGTTTATTGAGATCTTCATCATCATTTAATTCAAATCCAATATCATTTAGAAAAGTAACATTTACAAGGATATAGTAGTCTTCCTTTAATGGCAAATATATGATTTTTCATTACTAAACCATAGGGGAAATTGAATCAATTACCATTTCTGAATCATATTTCACAAGATTGGAAGGAGACTATATTGTGTAATACAATTAAGTACAATATATTGCTTTCCTAAAAAAATATTTGTTGAAAAACAATCCTTAAGTAAGGAAAACTGGAATTTGTAAATTGTCAATTGAAATATTAATACTGCCATAAAACTAATGCAGTTTATCTGAGCATGGTACCTTTAAAGTAGCACAGAGATTTTGTCAGTGTGTCGAACCTTTTGGAAATGTGATGGCACATTTAATGATGTGAGACACTGCCACATTGTGGCAATCATATTATATACATTTTATGTTTTTCAGATTTTTAAAAATTATTTGCAATATTTTTGTTTTTGATGCTTTTTTTAAAATAAAGCCTCATACCAGTATGGTCTTTCTCTAAATTAGTGTCAGGGCTTATCTTTAAAGAGCAAATTCTTTATTCAATCTTACCCCACTGTACCACTGAGCTGTTGAATGCAAGCTTTGACAATTTGATTAAATTGGCCATTTCACAATTAATGCTGTTAATAATATTGTAGGTGACGCGAAGGAAACCCCAAGATCCTACAGCACTGTCGAACAGGCATGTTTTTCTTATGCTTTTTAACATTTTTGCTTACTGTTATTTACAATGTGCAGCACCAAACCACTTAAAAATACACACAATTAAATAATCTCTTCAAGAACATCCTAACGCAATTATTGTACATTCCCAGTTTAGAAGGTATCTACAATAACTGTGAGGATTACATTATACTGTATTAATATTTGGTCAAGTCACAAACACATTTCAGTTAGAAATGTACAAGAATTAAAAGGCAGAAAATGAAACTGTGCATTCCAATACCAATAAGAAAGATAAGAATACACTTTCAATCGGCTACATAAAGCAAAGAAAGCATGGTATGCAAATACTGGCATACTAGGTGAAGTAAGGAATTTTAGTTTAAAAAAATTCGAAATAAAAAAAGTACAAATAATTTATGTTCAAGTAACTTTGTTGAATAGCAAATAGATTTGATATAACCAAGTATTATAACCCAGTTTATCCACCAGATTTTCAAAAGATGGATTTACGTATTAACTTTCGCTACAAAACATAAAAGTAAAAGAGTAAATGGAACCATTTTGATTTGAAACTGATTGTTTCGACTTTGGCAACATGCTCCGCTAGAGGGCAACATTTAGTTACGGATATAAAGGCAGGAAAACGAGGTATTGGAGAGCTAAACGTAAAAAAAAATCAATGTCTCCACTGTACTTGTTTTTGGTGTATTTATTCTACGGAATTGCCTTTACCTTTATTGGTAACCTGCTTATTATTATTAACATTTCTTATTTCTATATTCATATTTAGTTTTAGAATAATTTATAGCAGTATAAAATTAGCTATGAAAGCTTATTTTGGTTGTTTGCTTTTAAGTGGCCTCTTTGCCGTCTACTGGACATCCATTGCAATTCTGCAATTCTTATTCTGATATTTTATATTCTGGTAATTTCCTAATTATATAATAAATATCCTAATTCTGATATTTATTATAATACTAATATTCGAATGTGAATATTCAAATCCTTCTTCCCTGTTTCAAAACTGTGTATTAAACAGCTGTTTTTCACTATGATAGCCTATTGTCTACAGTGTGGTAGACAATGTGTGGTAATTTTTGGTTAAGGCGAAGCAGGTTTGTCAGTAGCACACCTGAACTTCCAGCTTGCTCTTCACTTTGGGCTAGATGTTCTAACTGTGACAAATTACTAGTCTGTCTTGCCTGATAAATTCAAATTCTGCGCTGGTGGAGTAAAGCTGTGAACAGCATTATCTTAAAACCTTGCCTGAGGTTTTAGGATAATGTTGTTCCTCAGAAAACTATAATACTAAGTAGAGATTATATAACAGTACAAAGTGCATTGTACATTTCTAACTAAAGTCGTTCATCCCATCAAATAAAAAGAACTGAACGACCTAATTGTTGCATTTCCTATTGCTACTATCACTCGCATGTAGGAATACTATAATGAGGGTTTAGAATGCTACAAAGGTCACCCTAAGTACCCGATTAAACCTAAGCAAACAACTGAACCTCAAAATGAAATTTGATTCAACCTAAATCTTTCTAATTAAAGTGCAATTCAGGTTTTTTTTTCTCCCTGTAAGCACATAACAAAAATATGTTAGATTTTTTTTGTACTGGATGAAGACTTCCTCCCCTAACAGAAAACCCAAAAGTTGTGCAGTAAAAGAAGATACTGTACAAGGCATATGGAAGTTACTGTACTAAGAGCCAGCACAAACCAAGATCAAGTTTACACAGATATAGTATTTGACTAATTCCTCCAGCTGCAATTGCCCCCTAAGTTTTTAAAAGGGAAAGACATTTCAAAAGGCCAAGCTGATTTTTCTGCTAAGTTATTGCTTTTTAGTGACCAGCCTCATGACAGCTTGATTAATTGCTGCTCTTGTATAAATTTGACAATGTAAATGAACCATGACTCCATGGTTTAAGTTGCAGCCGACTGACCTACACTGCTGGACAAGATGATCACTCTCAATGAAGCAAACAGCCTTAAAATGAGGACACAAAACATTCACATACTGTAAATTGTTTCTTCTCTGATATTACACTGATATAAAACCCTTCCCGAAAAGACTGTACTTCTAAAACATTAATATTCAGAGCAAAGAGTTGATGAATGAGGTTTCAGTAAAAATAGAATACTTATTGTAGCACTTAAATCTTAGATGTAAAACAGATGTTAGATGATATACATGAAGTATATTTTTCATTAGCAAATATTTGTATGTATTTTTTGCCTTTGCTTTTCTCTGTTGGAGGGCAAATGTTGAAGGTATCTGCATCAATGTGTCTATGATCTATTCCAGAGAGCATCGAAAATCAGTTGTTGTTTTTGGTGATCTATGACATTTTATTTGATTGTAATGGCATTTTTGAAAGACGCAGGTTTCCTGTGCAGCACTGGATTGAATATGATGCCATCTTTTCTAAATAACTTGTAAAACCTTAGTTAAAGGTTTGCAAATTACACTTTGTGTCATTAATTGTTGACTATTGTTTCCACAACATGTACTGATTACTAGAATTTAGTTACACTGTAATAAATTTTGCTTTATGTTAAATCAAAAATGGAATTTGCAATCTATAATCTAGAGTGTTACCTGATAATCTGCTACTTATTATTTTATTTTATCTTCAAGCACTCATATGGGCAAAGAGATTGAAAGGTTTAGCGCTGATGTCGAACCTGTTGGATGTCTAGAAACGAATGTTTGGGAGTGATCTGACATTACCCCACAACATACAGTATAAACACAAGCAGACGTTCCCAACATGCATTTCTTTGCACTCTTCCTTCGCTCTCTTATAGTAGCTCCTTGGTTAGTTGCTCCTTACCAGACAATCTGGCAACCTGGACCTTTATAAGAAGGCAAGGTATGACCTGCGGAGAGCTATCAGGGACGTAAAAAAGGCAATACTGTAACAAGATGCAAGCTGCCTCTGCCGATGTGCGCCAAATGTGGCAGGGTATTCAGACAATAACAAACC